AGACGGTCAGCCGAAAGACATGGAATAGGACTGCAAGGACAGTTGTTGAATGCCAGTCAACGTTGGTGCGAATCGCTTGGGCGACGAAGGGTCTGCAGAATCCGAGCTTAAATTGCAGACTCAATAAGCCACGCCGCGTAAACGAGTTTGGCTTCATTCTACCTCCATGCACATCACGATGAACAACATGTCGGGTCCTTCTAGAGTTCAGAGCCCTGTTTCCATGCAACGTGCATGCAGCAAATTTACCTTGCTCGGATGTGTGGACGCCCTTGTTGACAGTGAACTAGTAGTCTGACATCCAATGATCAAAATTTAGTTCACGCTGAGCTCTGAAATAACACCAAATTTCAGAGGAAACTCTGATTGGGTTCCTGAGATATGAGTGAATGTTCACTCGTTGCCTTCGTTGACTGTCAATATGTGCATGTAACTATTTCGCGGACTGTAAATCTGTGCATTCTGTGGTGAAAGTTGAATATTAATCTGATGAATTGGTCTCATGTACGGAGAGTCACGTGCAGCGCATGAATCACACAACACGACGACATCCTGCAAGAAAAATACTAGCGATCTGATGGTCGATGCTCGACTGATAGGTCGGTCGTCAGCAGCGTGTGCGGCACGTTGGAAGTGGGCTGGACGCGCCATCGGCATCGCCAAACTGGGATTTCCTCGCTCGAAGTAGATGCACTCGAAGTCGTTGGTCTTTGTCTGCATCACGCTGCTTCTGGCCGTGCTCGCGTCGGCGGACACTCACCTCCGCCATGGCAACAATGCCGTCGCTCACGACCCACAAGGCCGCCACGTCCAGCAATCCTCAACGAAGCATGTTGACGGTGGCGCTTATGTCGCGAAACGCCAGTTTTTCCTTCGCAACGTGGGCACCATGGGTACCTCATTCCAGAAGATCCCTACCTGGGTCCGAAACTTTGGCCAACCCTTCAACCACGGCGTTCAAAAGGCCCAGCGATGGATCGGAAGCGGCCAGCAAGTCATGAATTCGGTCAATCGGGGCAAAGGACGGATCCAAAAGGTTGGCGGGTTCGCTACGCGTGGATTGCTAGACGGTCAGCCGAAAGACATGGAATAGGACTGCAAGGACAGTTGTTGAATGCCAGTCAACGTTGGTGCGAATCGCTTGGGCGACGAAGGGTCTGCAGAATCCGAGCTTAAATTGCAGGCTCAATAAGCCACGCCGCGTAAACAAGTTTGACTTCATTCTACCTCCATGCACATCACGATGAACAACATGTCGGCTTTTTCCGAGTTCAGAGCCCTGTTTCCATGCAACGTGCATGTGCC